TGAAACTCTGATACAGTGGGAATTAGGGGGAGACACAGCACTGGCATCCTCAAACATCCCTTCTTTAATGCAGAAAAGTGTTGGAGCTGGGAGAAGTAAATAGAAGAACAGTCTAACATTCCTTTATTCCAAAAGGGAGGGTCAGACCCTAAACTCTATGCTAAATGATTGCTATAAATGTTCACTATGATTCCTCTGAATGTGAACCATTAGTCTGCACTGTGCCTCAGTGAGTCTGCAATGGTTACATACCTACCACTCACATAGCTTTTCAGGAGAGCCATGGAAGCTTTAAATAGCACTGCATGCTCTTGTGTGACTATGTCATTAAAGCTGAGCTGGTCAGCACGGTTGGTCAGCACCACAGCTTTGTGCTTCAAGAAAGGCAGCACAAGCACAGAGGTTTCCATATGGTGATACACAGATTTGAGGAGGAAGAAAGAATAAAAATCCTTGCACCAAAACATTCTCAGCTTTGAAAGTCAGCTTTATTGTGAACTAAGAAACAGGCTAAAAAAGGTGGCATGACTTGTCTGTCCTCACAAAATGGATTTCTGACTGTGACACTTCTCTGTGACACTTTGAAAATAAAGCCAGATAGATGGAATGTATTTTCCTCTCAAAAGAGACAGGCCTTAGATTCCTGTGTGAAGACAGGCGTTCCTTGCACTGCTCCTTTGAAACAACCAAGTGTAATCAAGTGGACTTTAGTTTCTGCCTTAAGGTGCAAGGTAGTTTCAGGACTCTGAAGAGTAGAAAACAAAAACCTGCGTCATCCAGTTTATGTTTTAACTTCAAAGATGAGGAAAGGGACTCAGCTTCTGCTTGTGTCCTGCCCTGTCAGCTGTAAATCCTTGCACTTAGGTGTATCATCTTCAAAGAGGTTTAACCGGTGCCTTGGAGTATTTGTGGCAGCAGAAGACCTTCAGGCCAAGGGCTGGTGTTCATTCACCAGCAGGGCATCCAGTCAGAGGAGGCCTGAGTGCAGAGAGAGGCTAACTGAGCTGGAAGGTCCCTTTCAGATGAGCCATGAGTGGGAATGACTGGAGGATTAGTGATTGCAGAATCCCTTGGTGCATGTGGCTGTGTTAATGGAACTCAGACAGACTCTTGCTCAGCCCAGCATCTCCACTGGGTGCAGGGCAGTGGGTGAAGCTTCAGAAAGCAGTGCTTTTTGCCATCCTGGCAATTGTTATCTTCTGGGGTGAAAGCTGTCCCTTCACCTAATGTGACTCAGGCTGTGCCCTGTGCTGGACTGCTGAGTCATGTAGTTGCTTCTGGGTTGTTTGCAGATCAGTGGTGCAAGAGCAAGTAAGGTGCAACCTTGTCCCCACACTAGCAAAATGAGGGTATGTGCTCAAACTTGAGCAACCTGTTCAGTAAATCCCATCTTCTTATATAGCTGGATAAAGGGGTAACTTCCTAAATGTGACAGCCAGTTTAATGTGATAGCAAATTCGTCAAATAGCTGATATTCTTTCCCATGAATAAAGCATTACGGTGTCAAACGTTACAGAGATTTAAGAACAACCGTGTTCGTTGTTTTTAATGACTCTTCAAACTAATCCGGGAATTCCTCCCATCACAATCCAGGAATCTTTTTACTGACCGTCTGTCAATGCCTCACATACGCCGCCAGGGGGAAGAGTTTATCTGTCTTTCAGGTACCAGGCCTCCATTCCTCGAACTGTTTAAAAGTTGATACTAATTCTACAGGAGAAATCCAACTGGTTGGGTTATAAAGCAGTGTTGTGCAACCTAAAGTCTTCAGTAGGTTACAAATAAGTTAAAGTAATTTTTGTGGTCTAGTACAGATTACAAACCTTCCCTGAAAGTATGCTTTTCTTTGGAAAATAAATAATTCCCTTCCCTTCCCTTCTTTTGGATTCTAGTGCTATGTGATATATATATTAATACTACTGAAATGCTTAAAACAAGAAAAGAATTTAAATTCTCAATATGCTAAACTGAAAACATGTTGTTCTTTCCTTCCATCCTGCAGCCTAAAAGTGTACAGGCAGTTGGACATTTCCTGCTGGGATTTATGGATGTGAGCTAGCACTGGTAGCTTTTTAGAAAACTTGTTTTTTCCCTAGGAAATACTCCAGCAGATGAACATGACTGTGAATATTATGCTAGGAGGAAGTGGTGTGTTAAGGTGTGTGGTTTTTTAATTTAGGATCAAGCACCTGTTCACAGAGAGAATCTCTGCATAGTCCTCATCTGCTGTGCTTTGGTTTGCACAGTACAGCAGGCTTTGAGCAGGTAAATATTTTGTGTGAAATTAAGCTTGAAGGAGATTGGCAGTGCCCCCAATGCACTTCAGTCACAAACAAAGCACCAGTCCCTAGGACCAGACCAAAGCTAGTCTGAAGTAACAACTGCTAAAGTAGGTATGTTGTGGCTGTCAGATCCTCAGCACCAAATGTTCTGTAGGGATTGTGCTAATTGCAAATGTGGACACAGACACATATTGAAATATCTTTAAAGAGTCCTTAAATTGCTAAGCCAAAATTGCACAATTATGCATGCTCGGCCTACATGCTAAAAACCTGGGCAAACCCTACCTGCAGATTCCTGCTCTGTCTGAAAAAATTTGTGTACTAAGCCTGTGAAAGATTCAGCAAAAGTCTTACTGATTGTCATGGGATGGGAACTGACTTTCTGCAAAGCTGCAAGCTCTACCTCCTTAGCTACTGCCAACAGCATTTGGTTGAACTTCATAAAACTGTCCACTTTTAGCTGATAATCTTTTCAGGAGGAAGTTGCCAGCACTGCTTTGAGCACCAAGGTTTATGACTACCTTGAAATTTGCTTTTGTAGGGAGAGAGCTGGCATTGGCACCTTCTCTTACTCCTTCTAATCCCCAAAACTACATTCTTCTTCTCCTCTTGCTCCTCCCCACCTGTATCTGTAGAAGAGCTGGTTCTTGTGTGATTTACCAGGAAGCACAGAGGAAAATCTCTGTGACCCTAAGCTCACTAACAGCAACACACTTCTGCTCCAGGAAGGGCCCCAAAAGCTTCTCATCCAGCAATTTGTAGAAAAAGAGGTCCTATAGATTTTTATTCTCTTGATGAAAGTCTTGCTATAATTACTGAGCTTAAGGGTATAGAATTTTTAAAATATCAATGCAGAGGACATATTAAGAAGCCCCATTAGCTGTGCTACTAGAATGAAACCTAAGACTTCACAATGTCCATTGCAGGATTGTTTTGATCCATGTTCCACAGATCTTCCCAAAGCATTTCCCATGGGTTATGCTGGCACTCCTTGCACTATACCTTTGTACACACACTGACAACATGGATGCAACCCTGCAGCTACTTCCCAGGTAGCATAGTATTACCTTAATTTTACTGATAAGAGTGACTTTTCTGAGGTCACAGTGGAAAAAAATTACCATCTTGATCTCATCATGATTCTCAGTGGAGTTCCCTCTGTCTGACAGCGTAAATCAAAGGGAAAAAATTAAATCAGTGGAAAACTGGTGTAGCTTTTCGTCTGTTATCTCTACATTCCCTGTGCCTTTTGAGCTTATTTGATTGCCTTTCAGGGACATGGCTTTTAAATTTAATTAACATGCTATTACTCTTTCCTCTATCTGACATGGAAAAGCTAGAATTAATTGCATATTGACTAATTGAACCACTTACAGCAAGGCAGTGCATTCATCCAGTGGTGTGCCCACTGGTGTGCGCAGGAACTTGGGGCTCACTGGGCTGCTACTCACAGGCAGTACCTGTAGTACTTGCAGGCACTACACCCGGAGGAGCTGCCACCTCCAGCAGCAATCATGAGACCTGAAAGAAAAGATGGCTCTCTTGCTTGTGTTGCAAAGTTGCCTCGTCTGTGCTGCTTCTGCCTGCAGCACTCGCTGTGTACCGTACACACATTTTGTTTATACATGTATGTGTGAATTTATCTACGTATTGTATGCATTTATAGGTGTGTAAATACATTTATCTGTACCGGCTCTGGCTGGGATGGAGTTACCTTGCTTATCAGCATTCCCTGAATGCTGTGTTTGGATTTGTGGTATGTTAGCACACAGGTGTTTTGGCTGTGTGCTTGCTTGGCATGAAGGTTTTCTTTTTTCCACTCTGCCCGGCTCCAGCATTCATAGAATGGTTTGGGTTGGAAGGGCCCTTAAAGATCACCTAGTTCTGACCCCCACTGCCATGGGAGGGATATATATTGTATGCATGAGTATATATGGCTCTAGAGGAGGGCCATAAGAACTATTTGGGGTCTGGAATATCTCTCTCATAAGGAGAGACTGCAGAAGGTGGGCCTCTGTAGTCTTGAAAAGACTGAGAGGGGATTTCATTACAGCACATAAATATCTCAAAGATGGGTGCCAAGAGGATGATGCCAGACACTTTTCAGTGGTGCTCAGTGTGAGAGGGTGAGGAGCAGTGGCCATAACCTGAAGCACAAGTTCTACCTCAACATGAGGAAGAACTTTACACTGAGGGTGGCAGGGCCCTGGAACAGGCTGCCCAGAGAGATCATGGATCTCCCTCTGGAGACTTTCCAAACCCACCTGCACACGTTCCTGAGTAACCTGCACTAGGTGACCCTGCCTTGGCGGGGGGGTTAGGCTGGATAATTTCTATAGGTTCCTTCCAGCCCTAACGATTCTGTGATTCTGTGGTATTAAGGTACATATACGATATGCACGTGTCTTTATACATATTTACACACGCCTGCATACAGCCATAGCTGCAGACGTGTGTGTGCCGAGACACTCACACCTCCACTCCTGTGCCTCCACAGCCGCGTCTTTGGAGTATATGCAGGCGTGTAAGTTTTGCACGGACACTGCCCCCTCTATCCGGCACAAACCGTGTCTCCCTGAGCTCCGTGTGTAAATTCACATGCCCGCCTGCCCTCGGCGCTCTCCCGGCAGGCCGGGCCGGGCCGGGCCGCGTCCCCATGGCAACGCCCGGGGCTGGCGCTCGGCCGCGGCCGCTCCCGCCCGTGGCCAGCGGCCGGACGCGGGGACGGCGGCACCGGGGAGCTTCGGCTTCGGGACAGGCTGTTCAGCAAGCGGCGGGCACGGGCCGGAGGGACCCTCGCTGAAGTGAATGCAAGCCGGTTAAGGCCTGTGTGCTTGGCCAGCATGTCCGGCGAGCTGACCCAAAGTGTCATCAAGAGAATAGTCCGCCAGGTGGGCCTGGAGTGCGCTGCCCAGGGACAAAGCCTCTCGGAAACCTTGGTGGTCTTCATGGTAAGCGCGAAAGGAAGCGTTCAGGGGCTGTCAGGGGTGGCCTGAGCTTGGAAATATCTTGGTTTCCAATTGCCTGCAGTGAGGTATTTTAAAGGGGCGCTCAGCGACATCCAGTCTTGGGTCCTAAAAGCCTGAAAAAGAACTTTATTCCCCTGAAATCTTATGTGAATATAATGCTCCAAGAAGGCTGTAGGTCCTGAGTCCCGCAAACTCTCTGAACTCCAACTCGGAGCTTTCTCCTGCAGGCCGATAAACCATTGCTTTCTTTCAGAAGTGAAAAAGAGAAGTTTAGCCAAGTTTTAATAGCGTTTCTTCACACTCTCATAAATGAGCCTGTGATGCATCGGTGAATGTTTAATGCAGCAGCTATATTTATTCTTTGATGTTCACCTCCTCCCTCTCTTGTGATGGATAATTTTCTTTGTTTCTCTGCTCAGACAGGGCCAGGTAGTATAAATGGGCTGAATATTTGAAGGAGTGGGCTTTGATCCCATTTAAAGTGAAAATTTAATGGAATCAATCTCAGTATTGTCCTTGGTAGACAACTGTAAGTATCCTAAAAACGTTTTACATTTTGGCATCTCTTAGGAGACACAGCACTGCTGCAGAATATAGTCTGGATATAGTCTGCAAAAATAGTCTGGATACGCCTGCAAAGCTGTGTCTGAAGAAGGATGGGCTAGATTCCTTCTTTATTGATGATCAGCTCTTGATAAAGTTGTATATAAATGTAAATGCTTCACAGCAGTACTGTTAATGTGCTATTTTTTTCCCCTAAAGGTGACACTGGAGCTTTAGAAAAAAGATTGGGCTCAAAAGCAGTATTAATCAATTAAGCAGGAAAATTTTAATGAGTAAAAAATTTGTACAAGTGGCCGGCAAGATACCTAGCATGAACACCAATTGCAAACATGGACTTATTTTCCTGCATGTAGAACATTATGGGTTTTTTTATTCAAATGGTAAATGTTTATGTCAATGCATATAACACCAACTTAGAAGTCTATAAACAACTATGATGGATTTTCAAAAAATGTTACTTAGGAAAATATTTTTCCAAGTAATTTTTAAAGGAGCTATATTTAAATATTTGTATCACAAAATATTTTTTTTTCATTTGGGCCTGAGAACTGAGATTGAAACTGGTGAGATGTGAAATGAAGTAATTTTGTTTCATTATCAAAGACTGAAATGGATAAAAAAGAATAGTAAAGAAATATTGAATGCATCTGAGATTTTTCAGAAAATAAAAAGTGAGTTGCAAAGATGATCTTTTGTGATGCAAATTCCTGTCTTTCTTTTGGCAATCTCTAGGTGAAAGCTGTTGTTTTAGATCCAAGAAATGATTTTAATATGGATCGAATCCTCACAGAAAACGATATGCAGGATCTTATCCAGGTAATTCTGATATGATGTTGAGAGTCACTACTTATCTAAGACTATAGCATTATTTGCTACCTGTTCCTGTAACTAAAATTACATGAACACTTTCAAAATTTTAATGCTGCTTTATTCTCATGGCTCTGTAGCTAAAGACTGGACTATGTTTCCATAAATAAATGCCTTAGAAAAGCTTTTTATGGAGAAAATGGTAATGAGGGGGCTCTACAGCTATTGTGAAACCTTTAGTAGATCACTGTCTGTTCAGATGTTCCCCCAGAGAGGAGAAAGAACTCACTTCTCTGACTCTCTTTTTAGCTCTGTGTTACCAGACTGCTTGACACAACAAACCCATCCCTAAGCACAATTAAGATGCAAGTTTACTTTGATATGAACTATGCAAACCGAGGTAATTTCAAATATGTTTTCATAGAAGTTGATGTTGAGTTTATAATTTATAATAGCAATTAATAGTATTAATAATAGTAATTACTGTTAAATGAATCCTGGCCATAAACAAAATAAAAATCCCAGGAGAAATTTACTGTACAGGAGTCTGATGTTTCAGTATGGATATAGTAGGGTAAAGTGTACATTAGATTTGAGAGTACACTCTTCTTATGCTGTCTGAGAGATTTACTGAATATAATGTATTAGGTTGCTTGAGGACACTTACACTTTCAGGTTCAGTGGTTAGCTGCCTTCAGCAAGAAAAGCTTGCACCTGCACCTGTGTGTCTGAAGGCAGTCAGAACTCAGTATTTTATCAATATCCTTAACTGGGAGATTTGAGGAACCTTGAACAATCAGTGACAGTATTTAGCCTAATATGTTTTTGTCTCATCAGTAGTAATTTCATATGGTCTGAGAATGTGAATGTGAAAATAAAACGAGATGGGGAAAATGCCTTTGCTGTAATTGTAATTCCTGATCTCAAAGGGATAGTGGAGGCTGGCTGGGAAATAGAAGACACAGAAGAAGAATAGACATGAAAAAAGCATTTCCCTGTGGAGAGAAAATGAAAATGTTTTCCTGTTAGCATGGATTAAAACCAAAAATTAGCAACACTGGGAGCTGCTCCTAAATCCTCTGAGCTGTATAAGCTCAGTAACTCCAGCAAGTTTTTGAGATCCTGAGTAGTATTCAGACTTGGGCATGTAACTTTAGGTGTGTTTGAAATATGTGTGTGTGTAAGTTAGGTCCTCCTACAGTCAGAGGAGTCCAGAGAGCCAGAGACTTGCTGTCTAGTTTGGCCTGAACGGTTCTCAGGACTCTACTGACTCATGTTAATTATGCTAATTTTATTAATGTTTAACTCTGCTGTTTTTAATTCTAATGGTGTGGTACTATGAGCATCTCTTCAGAAACCTTAAGTTGGTGCTGTGACTGTGGAAATGAATTGCACCCTCTGTATGAGCCAAATTTCAAAGGATTTAGGTGGCACTTTCTACGTGTCCTTCTTTCCTAGATGAATTACTGAGTGAACAGGAGCGTGTTCTGGAAGGAAAACTGGCTCCTGTAGTTAGGGCCATCACAGAGAGTGGTCCACGTGCACAAGAAGAAGTGGAGAATGTGTATCAAAATATCGTTACCTATGTGCTGCTGAGATCTGGCCTGGGATCCCCAACAGATATTGAGGCTGTCAGGGAGGTAACAGGTCAGTAAACTCCCAGCTGTGAAACTGGGCTTTCTTCTTGAAAAAATAAAATTTCACCTTCTCTTTGCTAATATTTAGATACAAACATGGTAAACTGTGATGAATGCTTGCTATCCAAACTGTCACTGCTCAGCCTTGAAGTGCAAATTTTCCACAGATTTCCTGCTTTTTGCATTTGTTCAGGAGAGACTATTTTTGCTTATTGATTTTCTTTTCTGTTCCCTTATATTGAGGGTTTTCTTCCACTTTGTAATGCTTACAGCTGCCTTGCAGAGTGTATTCCCCCAGACAGAGATGATTACTTTCATCTCACTCAGTAAGAAGGACAAAGAACAACAGCTGAAAGATCTTGCCATGCTAGTGACAGGAATTCGTTTGTACAACAAGCAGTGCCAGAAAGGAGGAAGCTGCATTGATGACTGTAAGTACACAACTGCATTTGAGCTGGGTATTCCCAATTCATTCTGCCTGGACTTCTTCACTGGAGCTGCTCCAATAATTTCCCATCTCAGGGAGGCATGTTATTGTTATTGGTATTTTACAAATTAGGAAACTGAGAATGGAAAATTGTGCAGATTCTCTCAGGAAGCCCATGTCTGTTGTAGCAACAGAGTTGCATCTACTATAAAGCAAGTTTTCTCACATTCCTTGACTTGACTGTGGTATTTCCACACCTGTAATTCTAAACATTTGCAACAACCTGACTAGTGAGATAGGGAGGTTGAATCTGGTTTGCAAGTATTTGGAAGTGCATGAATATAAGAACAAAATGTAGAAATCAAAATTTCATTAGAGGACCATTATGTTCAAATACTGCACTTTAACCATGTGATAATGATCTTATTAATTCTTTTTATACATATTTCATATTTATCCCATGTGGATAGTGCCAGGCATCCTGAGCGAAGCCATTCCCTTGGCCACACAGACTCTCGATGAACGCCTGAACTCCTGCCAGCTGCTGGCCCACCGCTACACGGCCCTGCTGGAATCCATGCAGGAAGACCCCCAAAGGTTCTCCCAGCTTAGGTTTTTTAAATTGAAAGAAGCACTATTCAATGTGAGACAGTACGAAGCCTTCCTTTGCATCCTCCAGGTGAGATGTTAAATAATGATATAAAAGTCCCTGTGCACTTTTATTGCAGATGGAATGTCTTCAAGTTACCTACTTGCACAGGATAGAAATAAAAGAAAAAATATTCGGAAATAAATGAAATAAAATAAAACATGTCTTTAGATAAAGAACCATAGATTGTTTAGGTTTGAAAATATCTTTAAAATCATCAAGTCCAACCATTAACCTATTAGCCTGGCACTGCCAAGTCCACCATTAAACAGTTGTTTGCATACTTACTCTCTGCCCCAAAAGTCATGAGAGAAAAAAATCTCCTTGATCAATCCATAAATCATCTCAGTTTTAGTCTGCAGACACCCCCAAAATATATGGAGTCATCAAAAGTCTTTGAAGAATACCATTTAAATTCTTGTTTTGTTAATAAAGAGCTTTTCATTTGTCTTTTGAGAAACTGCAGGTTTTATTAGTCTTTCCTGTATAAAGCATTGAAAAAAAAAATTTTTTTTATTCTCTTCACTGGGAAAATGTAGAGGATTTTCTATAAAAATTGATAGTTTATGTGTGACTGAAATGCCTGAACACCTGAACATTTAAGGAAAAATTTATTTTGTGGATAGCTAGAGTACATTTCATTCCCTAAAACAATTGTTCTGCAAAAGTTGAATGAAGAGGCTCAGGTAAATACTTATTACTAAATACTTGATTTTTGGACTATGATACGTCTTACCTGATATTCTCTTTCCAGTCTAATGCAATTACAAGTGCTCAAGAAGTTGAATCACTGGATGTTCAGTTTGAAGCAGCAATGATGGTATTGAAAAACACAGTGCAGAATAAGACTTCCATAGAGTCCAGAGAAGTTTTTGTAAGTATTATGAGTAGAAAACCCATTACTTCTTTAGTAGAAAACATTATTAGAGTAAGATACTTTGCTGGTGTGTTTTTAAATAGTTTATGTTTAGCAAGAGGCTACAAATTTTCTCTCTAGTACAATATCATCTGTGATTTTTGAAGGGGCAACCAAAAGACTTGCTCTTAAGGTAAGAAAAAGGTAAGGTACAAAAAGGGAGCAAAGGAATTAAATGGTATTTTACTGTAAGTGTCTTGAGTTGTCATTATTTGTGTATTTCCTTTTTTGTGTGTGTATATATAGTTTTCCTTGCAGAAACTATAAGAGCATAATGATTGCAGAAAACGGCCCAACAGAGTATGATTCTTTTAAAGTTCCCTCACATAGCAATCCCTGTAATTACAGTATGAGTCATTGATGCAATTTTTCTGAAGAAACTGGGTTTCTATGATGGGAGTGTCAGCCTCTTTTCCCCTCCCAATAGCTTCTGAACCTGTTGGCAAGTTTCAGTCACATTTGTCAGAGTCCAAAGATCTCAAAATATGTCATTTTCTGCAAGTTTTATGGGAAAAAAATGAGCAACTAGAGACGCACAATTAGAGCCTTACCAAGATCAGGTCTGAAGTAGGGTTTGTGTGCTCTCTGGCCAGTGAGCAGCCACTGAAGGATTGATATTCTGTACTGTTGCCCCCTTGGTTGGGAGCTACAGGACATGGGAAGGAGGTATTAGGGGGAAAGGGAATGAGTGCTGTGAACTACAGCATTATTATTATATTATTATTATATTATGTATATTATTATATTGTATTATGAGGGAGGCTGCTTAATGAGCCTGTGAAAACCTGGGATTATTATGCTGGCATGTTATAAAGGAAACAGGGGAGAAACATTCTAGAAACCAGCTTCATTTAATTTGCTTTTCTTGTAAGAGCTCGTTATTTTGTGAGATTTGATTATCATTCCAATTCTTTGTGGTTAGCTGCTACACCAGCATGCAGTTTCATATATGTTTTAGGTTATTTTTTTTAATATTCTAAGCTAATTATGAGAAAGCAAAATAAAGTCTGCTGTGAAGGAAGAGGAAGATCATGACCCCCACCTACTCAGAGTATTTTTTACACTTCCCATAAGAGCATCCAAGCTGGAAACTCATGGGAAAAGCACTTTAACTGAGTGATCCAAGCTTCAATTTATGTATGCTTTTGATTTGATAAACCAGATGTTCTCATTTGGAGAACATTTTCCCCTTTTGTCCAGCTATGCAAAGCAGTTTTTCCTCTTCTGTATCTTTGTGGGGCTTGAGTGACTGATATACCTTACCCTTTTCCCTAAAAGCTGTCTGTTGTTTGCTCCCTTCCTGGAATTTTTTTTCTCTTCTAGTTGGTTAGTTGTTTTGTCTTCTCTGCTGAAGACAGAATATATAATGCCTTTTGACTTCAGATCCTTTTCAGGTAGAGATTTTTCTATTAACAGACCATTTAAATAACTTGTTGTTTTTGGCTTGTTGCTGACAAGCTAGATCCTCTACAAAGATAGAGAAGCAGGGCATTCTGTCTTTGAAAAAGAATAGGATAAGGCCTATATTTGTGGCAACATTTGTTTTAGGAAAAATAGTACATTTCATTAATATTTTTTTGCTTATTCTATTAAGAATGTTATTGATCTTCCTTTAGTTTCTTCCATTTTTGTAACCATAACATTTCCACAGCATTAGCAATGCTGATGAATTCCAGAGCTGGCTCTGTTGGCTGCTCTTATGACAATGTTGTTAACATGCATAAAATGTGTGGTTAAATGTACATTTCAGATTGGTTGAATCTCTTCCTGTAAAATGCTCTCTGTGTGTTTAGGTGTAACAGGGCCCATTTTATGTCACTGTCATTGAAAACAGCATTGAAACTTAAAGCTTATAGGCTGCTTCTTTATGTGCCTACACCTGGATGCCAACAGCATGTCAGTGCTGGGAAGGGCAGCCTCCAGTTTTGCCCTGAGCCCTGGACCACTGTGAAGAGGCCTGCACCTCTTCCATTTGACACATATGATGGCCTGGGGGCCGTGGTACCAAGTCACTCTGGAGCAGGGCAGACAAAATAACAAAACCTGGTAGTTTGTATATAGGTGTGGGTTTACGTACTTTAGTAATGAATCAGGTGTGTTCCTTCTGGCTCTTACTCCTCTACACCATATTTTCAGTTATAAAACTGGATTGTCATTTGGTAAATTCAAAGCATGGTCACAGAGTACATTTATTTGAGAAAGGCTCTGGAGTAAAATATAGAAAAATATAACTCTTGCCTGTGGGTTGACATGCTGGATATACTTGCTTTAGGCATATGTGATGGAAGCTCCTCTTAGAGTGTCCCCCAAGTTCCCCTGGACTTTCTGGTTGCTGAAGGCCTTGGAGATCGGCCCTCCTTTGTTCATATCTGCATTTCAAATAATTTTCTTTTTCAGCCTCTGTTTGTGGAACTTTCTAAGCTTTGGACCGGCTTTCAGGATGAAATGCTACTGCTAACCTTCCTCACAAATATGGCTGACAATCTACAACAATTCTTGGAAATCCAATCACAGCTTTTTCCAGAGGAAATGCTAACATCTCTTCTGGAAGGAGTTACCGTGAAAAGTGATGTGGAAAGGATAAAAGAAACCATGGGTATGGAAAGCTGAAATTTTTAAATTTTCCTTAATTTTCCAAGATTTTGTAGTTTGCATTTTCTTTACAATAGGTGCTTTACAGAAGGTGCTATATATTGATTTTTAAAACTCCAAATTTGCACAGTAAATTAAAATAAGCCTTGTAGGGTGTAGATTTACATTTTCATGTAGTGTAGCTTGTGATTCTAGTTTCACATATAAAATTAAAATAGAGCTTCTAGATACAAATATACCATACAAAAATGGCAGAATGATCAGAGAATATTTATAATTTTTTGTAATTTTTTAAAAGTGTATTCATGTCTTTTTATACCTTTCAGAACTTTGGAAATTGAGGGGTAGAGTATAACCAAAATAATTTAATGGGGCTTTGGTTACCAGAAGAGTTTGTTTGTAAGATGTATTCCTAGGAACCAAGTTTTATGCCAGGGAGTTTGTTATGCACGTGTGGGTGAAAACAAAATCAAAGAATAAAATATTACCTTCCTGTTGTTGTCCCATGTTTTCAAAGAAAGCTAATGCTACTAAAGAAGGTTCTTGCAGAACTGATTTTCAGTAGGTTCTCTTTCAAGGCAGGCCTAAAGTTTGGCTTTTGGGATCTGGACATTGAAGATCATCCTGTGAAAACCAGAGTAATCTGGTCATCCTGTAATATTATTAGCTTTTAGTCATCTGATATTTTAATATTGAAGTCCTTCCTTTGTTTTATCTTTTCTTAGGAACCAGAGTGAATGTTTCTGATTTCATGAACCAAGAATGGCTTTTTCCAGAGACTACTGATAATTTTGATCAGTTGCTGATCCAGTACCATGGTTTCTGTGCACATTCAATTGGTGTGAAAGGTATCACCCTACCAGGTATGCTTTGTAGTTAGGTATTTTCCACACTGTATATTTACACAAGGATTAGATAAAATGTAAAGGCATTCTGAATGCATCCTCTTATTCCAGTCAAAACTGGAATACTGTTTTTCCACATTTGCAATTTTCACCCCAGATAACTTATTTCTCGTGTTAAAGTATATATTTTTTTTTAAATACACAAATAAACTGCCCTTAGTAGAAGGCAGGACGGGTTGAAGAGGAAGCAGGGGCAGAGACAAGATGGGATGGATAAATGTTTCTTCCTGCTCTATGCATGTCTGTATAACCTACACTGCAGCTGAATACAGGTTTGGTTACTGTTGTTAATGTGCAGTAATGCAGGCATAGGGAAAGGGCCATTCCTTCTATTTTGTGCATCCATATGTAGCAAACATAACCATTCATGCCTACCTCATATGTACTTTTAAATAGTCATGACAAAGTACTAAAAATCTTTCCTGAAAATAATGCAGAAGTGCACTTGATTAAGTCAACTAATTGTAGAAATTTTTGGTCTCTCCATGCTCATTTGTCTTGAAAGTTAGCCTTATTTCAGCTATCCTAGTTCATGTTTTCCATCTCCCTAACCTTTCTAGAACCTGTCCATATAGAAATTTTTTAAGCCTATGGGAGTTGGAGAGGAAAATATGGCCATTTACTTGTCAGTATTAAAGAACAGATATTTTTATGGCAATGTAATTTACTTACACTTACTTAGTATTGCACATGAGAACAGCTGTCCTTAGCTGGATTGAAGGTCTCTCTAGCCCTGTATCTGATTACTGCACATGGACAGTCATGAACAGTTTAAAATTATGAGAATTCAAGTCAGAGTGATCTTTCCTTAATTATATCCTTTCTTGTTCTAGCAGTTGGTGGTTATGGGATTTCCTCTGATTAATGTTGAGTCTGTAACCTTCTGTTGAATAATCCTTCAAAGAGGTTTTTCATTTATCTAATTGATTTTGGAATCCATCTAGAGTTTGTCATGGGATGTTCTTATTCTCAAGTGCCCCACAATTATAATTATATATGCTGTGATCAGGTACCTCTTTTTGAGATGGTTTTAAGCTCTGGCTTGATAATTTTAACAAAGATAGTCCTTCTGTTAGGAAAATTACTAAATAGTAATTTTATATTGCACACAATTCGTGGTTTTATAACCCCCTATCATATTATTTCTTTTTTCCTTTTTAATGCTGAGGAAGCTTTCTTCTTTAACCCCTCCTTCTATGAAAGGTATCATAAGCCTTTGATCACCCCTAGCTGCCTTTTACTTGTTCTTTTGTGTTGGAACAAAATGTATTATTACAAATATTATTACAGTTTGTTGTAATATTTGTTTTCTTCTCTTCCTCTGTTTGCATACTAATAATTCCTTTTTTGACTGAGTATGTTCAAGGCACTGTCTATGAGGATTCTGGTCTTTCTTGGGCAATGACATCTGAAGCCCAACCTGCCACTGTCCTTGAAATCAGTTTGTGTTTTCCTGTATAAGTTATTTGGCCTTTATTGACACTTCATTTTCTCTGTTAATTTGTTGTTCAGCTTCCCAGCTGCTTTATCTGCTTCTTCAGTTCATCTCAGTGTTATGCCCTTTGGTATAAATGCACTTCTGATCTGCAATCAGATATTTGCTGGAGATTTTAGGGGAAACATTGGACGGTAAAGACTGGTTTCTTATGCCTTTGCTATATGTGTTTTATCTGTTGTTTTTCTGAGACATGCACCTAAGGCATGCTGGATGTGAACTGATCAAAAGCAGTTTTACTGACCTAACAAAACAGAGTTTTCTGTATTTTAAAAAAGCTTGTTTTTAAGGGTTTATACTGAGTTCAGAAATGAAGGAAGTGAAACTAACTTGAGGAAAACACAGAATCTTGATTACAAATGTCTTTTGTGTTGGATGTCATACTGTTCACTATTTTAATTTGTGGGGCTTATTTTGGGTTGGTTTTTCTTCTCATTTTTAGGAAATCCTGCTATTGGAATTTTGAAGCACAAGGAGAAATATTATGTTTTCAGTTCAAAAGAAGCTGCATACATCTTTGCTGAAGATCCAGATAAGTTCATTCAATTGAATACAGAAAAAGCAAAAAAATATGCAGAGCTAATTCAACTGCTTGAGCTCCGTCATCAGTTTGAATACCTTGTTCCACACGCACAGGTACACACTGCCCGTGCCTCTTGCTAAGCAGCTGCTGGGTCACTGGTTGATCTGTCCTTTCTAAAAGAGAACAGATGATACCTATCTTTAGGAAAGAAGTAAAATCCTCTGCCCGTCTGAAGGTCCATCTTTTGCAGGTCTTCAGAGTGTTGAAGAATGTTTCTGCTTAGTGACATTCTCACCTTCTCTATTCATAGAAGAATATGTAAATCCAAAGCATTCTGGCAGTGATAAAAGCTGCTAGTCCACAGCCTAGGCATGTGTTGTGTCTGATGTTTCTTTTCCTCATTTTTGCAAAAGTAGCTTAAAGGACCAGTAAATAAATGCAATAAAAGATATGTCAGATATCCCATTAACTGGAGCTTTAGCTTAGCAGTCCATCCCTGTGTGCTGGATGAGGGTGTAGTGATATCTGGGGACAGGAGTTATGGAACATATTAAAAAACAAAAGGAGAGTCATCAATAATGAATGTGATGGTGTTATTCTGTGAAATTCAAAGGCTTGATCTGGATTTATAGACAACATTCTCTGTGATCCACTTGTGAATTTTAGATCCCTGGCAGTGGAAAGAATGTAGTCTTGAACTGGCCCTTGGTTTGAAATGTAGTTTATATCCCAGTTATAGCAGAGATCTGTGCACTTCTCCCAGTTATGATTTGTGATTTTTAGTCCATTCATGAAGACAAACTGGGGTGCCTGCATCATAAAGTACTGGTACTGAGGGGACCCGTTTTTTCTAAAATCCAACAATTAAGCACTCACCAGGCAGACAGGAGCCTGCAACTCAGCTGTGGCCTCTGCCTCAAAGGTTTTGTGCCAGAAATTAAATCCATCAGGTACTTAGTGTTTTCCTTTTAGTGGGGACATGGGGAACAGAAACGATGAATGTAAAAATCATTATCCACTTGTGGTTTGCAGGTCTCTATTTGCTTTTAAAAAGTACCATACCCTTATGAGTATTCTTCTCAATGCCTTGCTTGGCTTTGGTTGTTTCTTTTCATCCAGGCCAGAAAGGCAAGCAAAAGTTTGATGAAACCACCCCCAAAATGTGAGACTGGTACTCAAACTGATACTCATATCTTGCCTCCAACTATTGTGAGATCCTATGAATGGAATGAATGGGAACTGAGAAGAAAAGCTATAAAATTGGTTTGTACTGTTATTATCAGATTTTCATTGTTGGATATAACAAATTTGAGAATAAATTATTCTTAACTTTTGTTCCTTGAAACATAAATCTAACATTTTATTCAAAGACATACCCTTCATTACAACTGGTTCAATTTTTTTCTAGATATTCTCTCTCCTTATATTTAGACTTCTTTCACTTCTTCCATATTTTTCCCTGTTTTTTTGAGCAGTGCTTCTGCTGCTGTATCTATTAATTTCAGATTTTTCAGTTGCCTTCTTTATGTGGTAAGAGTTTGTTGTTTTGAATTTAATTGCATTGAATATTAAGGTTGTTCTACATTCAAACCAATTTAATTGGTTGAAGATACTAGTATATAATTTCTTTGTGAGAAAAAGCCAGAGCAAATGTTTGTCATACTATCAGGATTTTCTGATGGATTGGAAATCATAGTCTGTCCATAGAAGGTTGACCACATAAGTACATAAAAACTTTTAAATTAACAGTAAATGTGTCAGAAGCTTCTTTCTAGGGTTTGCCAGCACATGTAGTTGTCAAGGTATAGCACCTGATTTTCAGAATTCAATCAAAATTAACATCTTGTGAGTACAGGGAATATTGTAGTTAACAATATCAACTGAAAATATAATACTAAAGGGTTTTATTTTCTTCTGCGAACAGATGCACTGTGGAGGCCTGTGGTCTACTGGGCAACCTATTTCCTTTCTGTTTGCCTTTTTGCCGTGAAATCTCTGACATTATTAAAGGAAACCAAAATTTTGGACTGAGGAGTCTTGCCAGTGTTGCTAGGTCATAAGGATTCTAAGAAATAGTTGTTACTGAGGTATATAAAGAAGCCAATTAGGTTTACAAGAAACCTAGTTAAAAATCTCTTTTGCTTCTGTAAAGGACAAAAGTTCATAAATAAACATAAGATGTGGTCAGTGGCTCTTCAGCATAAGCAAAACTGGATATTTTCCAATATCTGATCATGAAGATCATTCCCAAACAAATTTGTAGTTCATTAGTTTGAAATATTTAGAGAATGTACTTTGAAGGGTGTTTTAGCCTCAGCTGTCCAAATGTGAGATTAGTGATGTGGAGCTGAAAGAAAAATCCCAGATGCATGCAAAAGTGCTTTGACTATGCTAATTTGTAATATAGAGGTGATAAAACATTTAATAACAAAGTGATGAAATAACAGAAATAGTTTACCAGTGCATCAATGAATTTGATACTTCAGGAAAACATCAGACATATTTGTGGGTTTTGTTAGAGGATGAGCTCACATGCCTCTGTTTTTTTTTTTTTTGTGTTGTTCATACTTAGCCAAAAACTTGTAGTGGTACGAAATATTAAGCTATTACTTTGTTAGAAAACATATATGTTGCTAGAAGTAAAATTTTTAGCTCACTGTTTTTCATACTTAGCCAAAAACTTGTAGTGGTATGAAATATTATTAGAAAACCTATATGCTGCTAGAAGTAAAATTTTTAGCTCACATTTGTTTGTCTGTGCAAGCACAGTTCCTTGTAATAGCATACATTCTGCCATTAAAACCCTCAGAAAGAAAAAAGACATAATATATTGTCTTTCTTCCCAGGCCATCTCTTCTGTAAGTTCCTTATTGTTCTTTGCTGGATTCTGCTTGATGACTCTGCATATAAGATTCAGCTGTAGATTAAGGTGCCTAAATGTGCCTACATTTAGGTGCTTCACCTTCCATTCCAGCAGAGAGACACCTCAGTGGTGGAGGCTGGAGAATATTTTAACTTGCCCTGATACAACATTTAGGACATTCAGCCAGCTGTATCCCTCTCCAGCTTCCACTGAATCCAGTCTTCACTGACTGGACTGGACTCCAGGGACTTTCTCACTTATTTGGAGGGATCTGAATTCCAGCATGAGACTGCATTTTGTGTATTTTGAGGAGAACATTATATCATAATTTACAATGTTTTACATTGTTGATGACATAGAAGGCTCAGTGGAATAAGGAATTTTTTTTTTGTTTCAAGTGCTGGCTTTGGAATATTAACACCTTGTGAGAAGTAGTTTTGTTGTATCTATGACAATTTCTGTGAATAACCAGCTTTAATCATAAATTACCCTAACTTTTACCCCTTGTCAAGGAGTTAGTGAGCAACATGGTATAAGAAGGCATTTTCTCACTTTTATCTGGTACTTTGTGACACCAACCTCTAAACCTCATCACATTTGGCAGAAACCAGACAAAGACTGGAAGCACTTGCCATGAAAACATTTTATTCTAACAAAACAAAGGTGAAGCATTTCAGAAAATTTGAAGAACAATGACCAGTGGTATGAAATTATTAAGAGACTAATTTAAAATGGTGTGGGGTACCTAAAGTGCTGTTCACACATCCTGTTAGATCAGGATTTACCAAATCACAGTCACAACTGTGTATTGTCAGGAGGGTAAGGTGGGCCATTTTCCAGGTTTGTGAAGCCCACGGATGTAAAATAAACAAACATTCCTGAGTATATCCTGGTGCTGAAATGTTCAAAGTTTTGCTTAATCTGATTCTTTTTGTGTCTTTAGGCCAACTTGCGCCGCTTGTTAACTCATTCCATGCAGACTGATCTCAGCCACATGAGAAGAGAGAACTTCACCCAAGTGTACTTGCCAAAAGATGCTGGCACCCAGACTAAGCGTGACAACTCAAGCAATGTACCCAAACCCCAGATTTTCTTGAAAGGTCTCCGAGGAGGATCATCTCCCACTACTCATATGGTCACAGTAGACTTAACAAGACCACTGGATGAAACTTAAGTGAAAATTAAAAACCTGAAGCTGCATCTTGAATGTGTATATAAAAATCCCTGAATATATTTGAATTTAGACACAAAAGATTTTGCTATGTCTGTTGATTCCAGGAACAGTTGGTCTATTTCATTTATCTTATCTGTTGGGACTGCTGACTGGCATTAAGTGACAGAAGTGATAAGCCTGAAGCACAGATTTTAAATAGCAGTTTAGAATCAAGATGTTCCCAAGGACTTTCACTTCCAACATTCAAATATGTAGCATTCTGGGATTTTACTGAAGTTTTAATGCAACAATTGTTGAAATACTGTCTTAGAGCAGAATTGGCAAGAAGGCAAAACCAACAAAATGAAACCAGTCTGGGTCCTTGGGCCTGTCTGTTTGTGCTGGCATTAACCCAACCCAATGAGTGTAGACCAAGGCTGGGAGGCTGAGAAGAGGGCACCTGTTTTGGGTGGTTCTGGCACCCTTTTAGGTCTCTAGCAATTTCTTGGCTAAACAGTGTACTGGTGAGCACACTGCAAACCATAGGAACTTGACTTCAGGGGACCTTTTTGAAAGCTCTGTTTTAGTTGTGTTTGAAAAACTAAAGCACAACAGAGAAAAGGTTTTTTATCTTTATGTCATTGTGGCAAAGAAATATGTGCCAGGTCTGATCAATGCAACTGCAGATGGTATTTCTGTTTGTGAAAACCCGAATTATTTGAGCTTCAGGATGAAACATCTTCTCAAATGGAAATGAGGTACTTTAAAACAGAGATTCTTGATTCTTTTGATGACAATAAACACTTCCTCAAGCTGCTATCTGCACAATGTCCAGGTGCACAAGTCTGATTGCATAGGGCGTGCTAAGGTTTCTAAATCTCTTTTTTTTTGTGTGTGTGCATTGTGATGCACTGTGGTTTCCTGGCTCGTAGCTAGACAAGCTTGTGACAAGGAAGACTCAAGCTGCTGAGTGATTTTTCTGTGGCATTGTGCAGGATAGCATTCTCTTGTTGTTTTCCAAAGTATTTGGCTTCACTTTTAAAAGTTACACAACAGGGACGAATCCCCAAAGCATAATTAAAAAAAAACAAAGCGTGAGGGGAGCACTAAGAAAGAACTTTGCTAAATTGTTTTTGACTACGTGATTTTCTCTGTTGGGAAAGTAAATGAATCAGTAGCAGCTAGATGTGCTGCTCCTCCATGTTTTTAAATTATGACCGGGCACCAATGATTAGATTTCTTAATTAAAATATCAATGCAATTACTAGCTGAAGCTCTTCTTTTTTTTTTTTCCCCCAGAGAAAATTACTGTTGCTTCTTTATTATTGCTGTGATCTCTCCATATTATCTTTATTTGCTTTGAGGCTTTTATGTTATAGTTCTTACCAACAAACTGGTATTTCAAGAATCCAGAAATACATTTTATTTAAAAGTAAACCGATGACTGAAATTTCATTTAATCCTGCTTTGTTATTTGCCGCTGAAGAAGGTGCAGCAGTGCTGTAAAATACTGAGAAATACGATTGTAACCTCCATCTCGGTTTTTCTCGCGGCAGAAACGCGTCGGTGGCTACGAGCTTGCTCCTGGCAATGAGAAATACGTGTGTGAGATTCCTGGATGTTTGCTGCCAATGAAACAGTTCCGAAATGCGGCCGGGTGGAGCCGGATGCTCTCCAGGATATCCAGGCGGGACGGAGCTCGACTCGATGGTTCGGCGCGGGCGGCGGGGCGCTCTGGGCGGCCGCGCCGCACTCTATGGTGCGATGGGAGGAGCGGCGGGGCACGGCGGGCGGCCCCGGCCCGGCGGTCCTGGAGCCTTCGGCGAGCACCATGTCGCCTCCGAAAGGTAAGGGCGGCGGCGCGGGGCACCCGGCGGATCCCGCGGCTCCGGTGGGAGGCACGGCCGGAGAACGGGGACAATTTCCACCCGCTTTCCCAAGAGGAAACACGACCCGCGCGCAGACTCCCCCTGCCTCCCCCCTGCTAGAGGGAGTGGAACTGTCCTCCCCGCTGGGAGCTGTGGCGCCGGACGCTACTACTGCGGGAGCGAAGGGGGAGAAGGGGCTACGCGGGGTCGCACTGGGGAGGGGCTCTCCCCGCCTGCTTTCCCGCCCTCCCGCTCTCCTGCCGCCGCCCGGGCGCTTCTCCCCGCGGTGTGGCACCGGCGTGTGGGCGGCGGGTGCTCCCGGTGCGGGGCTTGCCGGGTCCCCGGGACGCCTCCGCCTTTAGGATCAGCCACAGTCGCGTCTCCCCCGCCACCAGTTCCCCTCTGGGAGCGTCTGACCCTGGCGCAGCGTCTTCGGGGCTTATCCCAGGGCGCAGGCGGTCCGTGCACGGGGACATCCCCTGCGCCCACCCTGAGGGTGCCGCAGGTGCCCCTGCAAACGCCGCCGCACCCAGGTGCATATTGGAGTGTGTTTAGGTTGGACATTAGGAGGAATTTATACACAGAAGGGATGATTAGTTGCTGGAATGGACTGCCCAGGAAGGTGGTGGAGTCACCATCCCTGGAGAGGTTTAAGGAAAGACTGGATGTGGCACTTCGGGGCACGGTATAGTTCACTTGGTGGTGTTCGGTCATAGGTCAGACTCGATGACACCAGAGGTCTTTCCCAACCTAACTGATTCCCTGATTCTCAGGGATTCTGTGTACAACGAGGCCAGAGCCCACTCGGTCCCGAAGCCAGACCCTCGGGCAAGCCAGGAGGGCTTAAATCCGCCCGGACGGCGCCGCCTGCCCCTCTTCCAGCTCCCCCGTGGAGGCCTTGCCCAGAGCCGCAGCTCCTTGCCCAGGCAGTGGCTTGGCGGGCCTGGCGGGTGAGGGGCAGCAGGCTCCCAGCAGTGTGTGCCGGCGCCTGCCGCCCCAGGTACCCCGGCAGGCAGCGGGCTGTGTGCCCCCGTGCCAGGCTTGGCCCGGGGCTGCCTTCCAGGAGCCCTGGCGGAGCCCTTAGATGAGCTGTGGAGATGTGTGGGAGGCTCGCACTGTTACCCTGAGGCTTTTGGCCTGTCTGGTCCCTTTTTGCCAGAAATAATTTCATCCAGGTGGGATTTACTGGCGAAAAAACCCCAAAAGCTTCTTCCAGCTCTTCTTTTCTTTAGGCAGGTGTAAGTTCAGATTTATCAGCAAAGGTTGTGGGTGCCCCAGCTATGCTTTCTTCTGCTCCCCTCACTGCACTGGTACTGATGCAGATATGGGAGCCAGGCTGAAGAAATGTCCAGGCTGAAAAGAGTTAAAATTACCTTTCCACATAGTGCTGGAACTATCTAGTCTAGATACTAGATTTGTTATGTCTTGCTGCCTTGGGCTTACCCTAGTTTCCAAACCATTGTTGCATTGGGGCTTTTTTTTTTTTTTTCTTTTTTTTGAGAGTAGAGTACTAGAGGCAAGGATTAAGTTTAGCTTTAGTTTGTGGTGCATAGACTTAGAATCTTCGTGTGTCAAATCACAGCATTAGTATAATTTCTGTCAGCACTGAAACATCCTTTGAAGATATGTTTTTGTGAAACCAGATGGGGTTAGTTATATTTCCTGCTTGTTATGCCCTTGTATTTCCTCCCCACAATCCAAATTTAATTTAAAAATGGGTTACAGCTTGTAAGTCTCTTCTAAGCATTGTTAGTCCAAAAACTAATTGGCTCTACTTTTTAAAAGTGGTTACTGCCGTGCATAAGATTTTTATCTATAAGGAAGTAGCTAATTTAAATGATTGCAGTGGCAGGAGGTATTAACTGTACCTTGCAGAAATGTTATGCAATTGAAGACATCTCTAGTTTGAAAGTAACATGAACCAAAGCATTAGTTGCACTGGATTCAGCAACTCATTCCTTTATTAAATAAACAAAGTTATTACAAAACTACTTATCCTGTATCTCATTCCCTAATCAGCAGAGGAATACAAACTTACACCAATTACAACACATTTCTTTAGGATATTTAGAACATGACAGTAGCCCCAAAGGTGCTGCTGAATGACCAATACCCACCAGAGAGATGCCAAACATAACAATCTGCCAGTGTGAAAAAGGATTTTGTACAAGCCACACATTTGCTGTGGCTCAGACACATTGCTGAGACATTTGCTGATGTCTCATGTTGGGTCTTGCCTTCGTACAGAGAAATCCCATTTGGAGTTGTGTGCTGTTCTCCTAGCTGGTTCAGATGCAGGCTCAGCCATTCCCTGAGCTGGGAATGCTCTGGAGTGGCCTGATGGAGCTCTCAGGCCTTGAAGAAGTATGGATGAAAAACTGCCTTCCTCCAGGGGACCTTGGACAGACTAACTCCAAAATTTTGCAGGATAGTAGTTGGTCCAGGTCAAATGTTACAAGTATTGCTATTGTTGTGGAAGTATATCAGTGGGGAAGACAGAGGGGATAGCACAAATGATACACAGGCCTTGTGTGGTTTAATTTGCTGCAAGAGCCTTAACCTTAGACCTTTCCACAGGGATTTTTTAAAGAAAGTCCTTTGTGTGAAGTCCCACCACCATTCAGAGCAAAATCTTGTTTTACTAACTTAGGTTAGAAAATAGGGCTAACAGAAATGCTGTCTTTTTTATTAAGATTTGCTAGATTTCTTTGCTTATACTGAACTTTTCCTCTCTTTTTGCTTTTGCTAGTCTGCCAATGCTCTTTGTGTCGAGTTCAGTATATTACACGAAGAGGATCAGCTGCTATTTCAGAGCAAGCACCTGCTGTCAGCTAAAGAGCTGGAAAGCACAGAAAGACTTTTTGATTGTTAGCAGATAAATGTTAATGCATGATTATTTTTTTCTAGAATGAGGGATGATTACAAGGGCAAGAGAGCATCTCATTTTCAAACACTTGGAGTTCCTGTACAAGCTTCTTTGAGAAGGCTGTAAAGTTTAACCAAAATTTTTTTATGGAAAGTGTTTCCTAACATTGTAATTATTGTCTGCTGACATAGTGGTGTTCGATGCACCCCTCCAGCTGGAGAACACACTGTTTCAGTTCTTAAATTGAAACGGGGGTCACGCTGAGTCGTCTCCTGTGTTTTGTTTCA